GAAGCTCACAAGTAGGTCATTGGGATGTAGGTTTTGCTTCTTTATTATTTCTATGAACTGGAAGGAGTTTGTAACGTGTGAAGAGATGGATTCTGCATAGGGCTGAAGTTGCTTAGCGAGAAATTTAGCGAGATTTTGTAGAGGTGAGCCTATGGAGCTGACTATTGGTCTGAGTGGTGTTCCTTCTTTGTGTATCTTGGGGAGGCCGTAGAGTTTGGGGCATCTGGATGATTTTTCTCTGGGGATGATTCTTAGCTGGATTTCTTCACTGATAGGAGAGGCTTTTATTTTGGATTTGGTGGTTTTTTCCAGATAGGTGGTGGGATCTGTTTTTATAGGTTGGTAGGTGGGGTCTTGGAGTAGATTTGATAGTTTTGCTTGGTAGTCCGATGTGTTCATCACAACAGTGGCATTACCTTTGTCTGCTGGGAGAATGATTATGTTGTTGTCTTTCCTCAGGTTGGTGAGTGCTTTCTGTTCTTCTTTGTGTAAATTGCTTCTGGGTGGTTTGCTGGAGCAGAGGATGTTGGTGACTTCAAGTCTGATTTTATTGGCTTCATCTGGGTTGATTTTGGTTAGGCTAGCTTCGACTCCGCATATGATGTTTTCCGTGGGGATGCGTCTCGGGGCGACTGCAAAGTTGAAACCTTTGGAGAGTACTTTGGTTTCAGTTGAGGTGAGGATCCTGTCTGATATGTTATGTACTGTTTGTTTCATGGGTTGTTGTGGAGGGTGGCTGGGCTTCTGGCGTTTCTCTAGTTTGTGGAGTTTGTTGGTGTGTGTGTCTGTCTTATGTGAGGTCTCAGTTTCAGCTCTCCAGACGGCTAGTTGTTTGCATTTGTCCCAGAGTGCAGGGTGGATTTTGTTACAGAGTTTGAGGTGAAGAGTGAGCAGATCTTTGTTGGTTTGGTTTAGTAGGTATCTTTTCTTATGTAGTTCGTTTCTGATAAGGGATAGTTCAGTTCGTTTCAGGATCCTTTCGGTAGCTGGGGTTTTAGAGTGGAATTTAAGTTGGAAGCATGTGGGAATTAAGTTGTTGTCTCGGCAGTTGCGTAGGAACAAGAGATCACATAAGATGGTGGCTCTTCGGATTTCTAGTTTCTCGTAGGTTCTTGTCAGCTGGAAGGTTTCCTCCCCGTAGAGGTGAGATATTTGCTTTCGTAGATTTTCACGGGTACAGGAATGCAGGTTTTGGTGTCCTCGGGTGTCTTCCCGTGTAAAAGTTGGGGTGTCTAGGCGACGTTTCGACGAGGTCTCACTCGTCAACTCTGTAACAAAATCCACCCTGCACTCTGGGACAAATGCAAACAACTAGCCGTCTGGAGAGCTGAAACTGAGACCTCACATAAGACAGACACACACACCAACAAACTCCACAAACTAGAGAAACGCCAGAAGCCCAGCCACCCTCCACAACAACCCATGAAACAAACAGTACATAACATATCAGACAGGATCCTCACCTCAACTGAAACCAAAGTACTCTCCAAAGGTTTCAACTTTGCAGTCGCCCCGAGACGCATCCCCACGGAAAACATCATATGCGGAGTCGAAGCTAGCCTAACCAAAATCAACCCAGATGAAGCCAATAAAATCAGACTTGAAGTCACCAACATCCTCTGCTCCAGCAAACCACCCAGAAGCAATTTACACAAAGAAGAACAGAAAGCACTCACCAACCTGAGGAAAGACAACAACATAATCATTCTCCCAGCAGACAAAGGTAATGCCACTGTTGTGATGAACACATCGGACTACCAAGCAAAACTATCAAATCTACTCCAAGACCCCACCTACCAACCTATAAAAACAGATCCCACCACCTATCTGGAAAAAACCACCAAATCCAAAATAAAAGCCTCTCCTATCAGTGAAGAAATCCAGCTAAGAATCATCCCCAGAGAAAAATCATCCAGATGCCCCAAACTCTACGGCCTCCCCAAGATACACAAAGAAGGAACACCACTCAGACCAATAGTCAGCTCCATAGGCTCACCTCTGCAAAATCTCGCTAAATTTCTCGCTAAGCAACTTCAGCCCTATGCAGAATCCATCTCTTCACACGTTACAAACTCCTTCCAGTTCATAGAAATAATAAAGAAGCAAAACCTACATCCCAATGACCTACTTGTGAGCTTCGATGTTGTATCTCTCTTCACACAAGTGCCCATTAATGAAGCCTTGACAGCCATTCAAAACAAATACAATCCCCCCGAATACATCCTGGACCTGACCAACCACTGCCTAACCAACACGTACTTCATCCACAATGGACAAAGATACAAACAGATAGAAGGAGCACCTATGGGATCACCCCTCTCACCGGTCATCGCAAACCTGTACATGGAACACTTTGAAACCAATGCTTTAGACAAGTCAGAACACAAACCCAAACTGTGGCTCAGATATGTTGACGACACCTTTGTAATTTGGCCACACGGGAAGGAAAAACTAGATAGCTTCCTCACACATCTCAACAGCCTACACCCCAAAATACAATTCACTATGGAAATAGAAGCCAACAACCAACTTCCCTTCCTTGACGTCCTAATCTACAAAAAACCTGATGGCTCCCTAGGACACACTATCTACCGGAAAAAAACACACACCAACCGCTACTTACATGCACAATCACACCACCACCCTGCACAAATAAACTCCGTAGCCAAGACTCTCATCTCCAGAACCAAACGCCTGGCTGACAAAGACCACTTGACAACTGAGTTACAGAATCTCTCAAATGTGTTAATCGCCAATGGATACCAGCAAAACAGGGTTACGAAGCTAATCCAAAAAGAAACACCCCCCAAAAACCAAGACACAGAAGAAAACAATGGCATGGCCCTCCTTCCTTATATCAAGGGCACTACAGATAAAATTAGCAAAATCCTCCATAAACACAATATCAAAACAGCCTTTTGCACCAACCAAAAAATAGCCAATATCCTCAGAAACCCCAAGGATAAAATCCAGTTGGAAAACCAAGGGGTCTATGAAATACCCTGCAAAGTCTGCCCAGCCACGTACATTGGACAAACAAACAGACGAATAAATGCACGTATCGCAGAACACAAGAATGCCGTCAAAAAAGAAGAAAAAACTTCCTCTCTTTTCCAACACATGAAAGAAACAGGACACGAAATTAATTTTGCAGATTCCAAATTGCTCTTTAACATGGAACATCACCACAAGAGAATAATCATGGAAGCCATCGAGATAGAGAAACACCCTCACAACATGAACAAGCGTGACGACACATCCCGCCTGCCAGACATCTGGAAATTAGCCCTCCCCACAAAAACCGACACCAGATCCAGAGGCACACAGAACGCCATCACCAATCAACCACACCAGACCCAAACCCAGACCCTCTCCACAGATAAATTACAGACACCATCCAGTAGCCAAACCATGGTGGCACCTCCGGATGCTGCACCCCCCTGCAATCCCTACACAGATCTGGCTGGCACAGGACACAAAACCACAGCTCGCCCCTATACACGAAGCCAAGCCAGAGCACAACTAAGTGCAGTACAGCCATCTTCTCAGAAAAACTCTTCACAAAGCTCAAGAGGTCAAGACACGAAGGCTTTAGCAACTAATCCACACCTAATGACCCACCTAAGTGGTACTCAGAATATCACTCAAGAAATCACTCAAGATATCCCTCAAGTAATTAAGGAACAAAAGAAGAAAAGGCACACTAGCCTGGGAACTTCCTCTCTGCCCAGAACATTGGAGGCTATACACCACACCCCCTCAACAGTATTTATAGGAACTCAAACACTGAGATCCTGCTCTGTTCCAGTAACAAGAAGCCGAAAGCACCAGCCTGAAGATGACGAGTGAGACCTCGTCGAAACGTCGCCTAGACACCCCAACTTTTACACGGGAAGACACCCGAGGACACCAAAACCTGCATATATATATATATATATATATAGATATATATATATATATATATGTGTGTGTGTGTGTGTGTGTGTGTGTATTTATTATATATATATATATATATATATATGCTTTCGTAGATTTTCACGGGTACAGGAATGCAGGTTTTGGCTTCCTCTCTGCCCAGAACATTGGAGGCTATACACCACACCCCCTCAACAGTATTTATAGGAACTCAAACACTGAGATCCTGCTCTGTTCCAGTAACAAGAAGCCGAAAGCACCAGCCTGAAGATGACGAGTGAGACCTCGTCGAAACGTCGCCTAGACACCCCAACTTTTACACGGGAAGACACCCGAGGACACCAAAACCTGCATATATATATATATATATATATATATATATATAAATAAAATTTTATTTATACCCCGCCCTTCCCAGTTTAAAACACTTAATTGTAAAAGCAGCATAAAATACAGTATAAAAACATGAATAACAATAAAATTCAAAGTTCAGAAATCAATTTAGGGGAAATCCATTTAATAAGCATTAGATAATGCCCAGGGCTAGCTGGCTGAATTGGTCTACTTGGGTCAGCGAGGAGGCCAGGGGAGAATTAGCTGTGGGGTCTCAGAGTGGGTAAACTTCATAAAAGGGGAGGGGGAGGGAAGAGAAGGGAAATAAAAGATCAGGCTGAATTCAAATTAAAGGCCAGGCATAATAACTCTGTCTTACAGGCCCGACGGAAGTTTAAATCCTGCAGGGCCCTGGTCTCATGGGACAGAGCATTCCATCGGGTCGGAGCCGTCACTGAAAAGGCCCTGGCACCTCTAAAAACTATGGTTATTCATGGACCTTAAGGCCCTCGGCAGGGCAGACCAGGAGAGGCAGTCCCGTAAATCCTTGGCAGAGGGAAGCTTTTGAGCTCTCACCCCTGTCCTGTGTGGCCTTCAGCCACAGTCCAATAATGCACCATTTCTTATCCTCATGCACTAGGAATATTTGTGTGAAAGGATGGGGAGAGAGGCTGTATCTAAGAGCCTTCCCTCTGCACTGCCATTATAAAAGGTCATCCTCATTTAAGTCCCTCAAATTTTGCAAACACTCAGATTCAGGGTGGGGAGAATAAACCACAGTAAACACATTTGTGACTTTAGGACTCTTGGATGAGATCTGAACTGAGACTGAAGCAGGAGAAACAGCTGCTGTGTTGGGCTGCTTTCAGCTCACCTTCAAAGACTGGTTTTTCGTCCTCATAGGCAACCAGCAGGAGTGTTTGGAAGACCAGGCTGAACAAGCGGAATACCATCAAGATCTTCAGCATAGAAAAGGGGTTCCTGGGGAGAACAAGCCACAAAGGAAAGTCATCAGGGATGGCAGAAACACTCAGGGACAGCACAAGAAGAGGTTCATTGCATGGCGGCAAGGGCAGAGGCTGAAGTGAAAAGGCTATGAATCAAATGCAGAAGTCAGGCTGCCCTGGAGAGAAGATCCAGCCTTCAGCATTCCAGGGGTAGATGTTGCATTCAGGGCAAAAGATGTGCTGTGGAAATGTTAAAGGTAAAGTGTAAAGGGACTTCTGACCATTAGGTCCAGTCGTGGCCGACTCTTGAGGTTGCGGTGCTCATCTTGTTTTACTGGCCAAGGAAGCCGGCGTACAGCTTCCGGGTCATTTGACCAGCACGACTAAGCCGCTTCTGGCGAACCAGAGCAGTGCACGGAAACGCCGTTTACCTTCCCACCAGAGCGGTACCTATTTATCTACTTGCACTTTGACGTGCTTTCGAACTGCTAGGTTGGCAGGAGCTGGGACCGAGCAACGGGAGCTCACCCCGTCACGGGGATTCGATCCGCCAACCTTCTGATCGGCAAGTCGTAGGCTCTGTGGTTTAACCCACAGCGCCACCCGCGTCCCATGAAAATGTTAGCTATTTCTAATTGAGTGCAGAGGAAGTCAAAGGATAATAGGTGGCAGATGGGCATGTTTTCAAAAGCATTTGCAAATGGCCATTCAGCCCTCTGAGGATCCATAGTTAGTTTTTTGTTTTTTTGTAAAACACTTCTGGCCCTTGAGGCAGCAAAAGATACGGATTCCTGAGAGCAAATCAGGCATTCCCGATTCTCTTTTCTCCCTGCTTCTCAGTGTACGGGAGTCTCATAATTCTGCATAAATGGGACAAAGCACGGCAGGAAGAAAGTGCCTGCTGGAAGTGAAAAGTTGGGCAGAGTAAGATGAAAAACCACATGGAGAATCCATAGCATGAAACCCCATTTGAAGGCTGATGGTGCTTACCCCTGTTTTGACATCAGATAGCCTCCAAGTGAGGAGCCTATAATGGAGAAGATCATGGCCACAATCCCATTCCAGAAGCCAAGCTCCTGTGGGGAAAAGGAATGGTCCAGTAGGAAGAGGGGAAACATGGCTATGGCCCCTTGTTCACCTGCAAGGAGAATCAAGGTTCAGTTTCCAGCAAAGCCTGACCTGGGCTGGGGAACATCAGCTGCTGCAAATAACAGGAAGAGGAATTACAGTTACTATTAGAAGAGTTTGGATTTGATATCCCGCCTTTCACTCCCTTTAAGGAGTCTCAAAGCGGCTAACATTCTCCTTTCCCTTCCTCCCCACAAGCAGCACTTTGTGAGGTGAGTGGGGCTGAGAGACTTCAGAGAAGTGTGACTGGCCCAAGGTCACCCAGCAGCTGCATGTGGAGGAGCGGAGACGCGAACCCGGTTCCCCAGATTACGAGACTACCGCTCTTAACCACTACACCACGCTGGCTCTCAAACACACAGGCAGCAACCACTTTGCGCAGGGACTCTATTCCTGGCCCCTGTGTGTGTCGGTGGGGCGAGCATAAGCCTGCCCACCTTGTTATGCCCCTCCCTGTTCTGCCCCTATTCTGCCCTCTCCCAGGTCCAAAACAACCCATGTACTGGTGTTCACACGTCAATCGGACGCATGCAAAATGGTTGCTGCCTGTGTGGGTGAGTATAGCCTTTCAGATAGCTTGGGCTAGAACCATATAGTAATAATTATAATAATTTATTATTTGTACCCTGCCCATCTGGCTGGGTTTCCCCAGCCACTCTGGGCGGCTTCCAACAAACATCAAAAATACACTAAGATAGGGCAGAGCTTTCCAAACTTTTCATGTTGCTGACACACTTTTTAGACATGCATCATTTCACGACACAGTAATTCAGTTTTACTAGCAAACCGGAGGTTAAACCCTTTTCCAACCCCAGGAGGAGCATGGGAAGCATTCGCACGACACACCTACACACTGCAGCCGACATGCTAACATGTTGCGACACAGCATTTTGAAAGCTCTGTGACTTTACAGGTCACAACCAGCACTTTGAATTGGGCCTGGAAACAGGCCAGTAGCCAGCAGAGCTGGTGTAACAAGGACGTCAGACACACAGGCTGTAGAGGCCTAACTGCCAGAGAAACAATCTCTGTTGTAACTCTGGGGGTGGGTCACAAGATGCAGGCTAACTCAGTTACTTAAAAAAAGCACGGGGGTTGCAGTCCGAAACATCTGGAAGTCACTAGGCTGGAGAAACCGGAAGAGCTAAGAAGCTGAAGGTGCTTAAGAGGAGGTGCATTCAAAACTAGAGTGTCCTCACCCTCAACTCTCACACCTGAAACGGCATCAACTTGGAAGGTCTACATCATGTAACTTTGCTGAGCTGCACACAATATCCCCATGTTTACTCTCTCCCCATTAGCCTGGACCCCTTTCCCAAAGACTAACAGATCAACCATTTGGCTCACCAGCATAATCTGCAGCTGCAAGTCTTTAGAAGGACTCACCCAACTTATAGAGCAGCACCAAACCAACAGTCCAAAGAGTGTCCGGCACCTTGAGAAGCTCTTGGAGCATGAGGCAGGGGTTTAAGGTTCTGAACCTGACCCAACTGTATTGAGGATCGAACCTCACTTTCAGTTTTAGGTTAGCATTCCAGGTGACACCAATGGCCACAACATAAAGAAGGGCCAGGCCCACAAAGAGGGTCTGCCAGCCCAGGTGATGGAGGAAAGTGAGCAGGCCCCCTCCTGCCAAGACGGAGCCCAGCTTGTAGGCCACGACCTGGATGGTGTTGCCGTACCCAATCTCATGTTGCGTCAGCAGCTGGATGGCAATCGCGTCCACCGCAACGTCCTGGATGGAGGCGCAGAAGTTCATGAGAAGGAGGACGATGGCCACCAGGAAGAAGTTTGCCTCGGGGGCCATGAGGGAGCAGGCCAGGCAGGCCAGCACGAAGCCATACAGGGTGAGCAGCAGCCACGTCCTCTTGGTTAAGTAATGGTCCACCAGGGGTGCCCAGAGCATCTTGAGAATCCAGGGCAAATAAACCACCTTAGACAGGCTGATCTTGGTAAAGGAGAGGCCCAGCGTGCGGAAGTAGATAGGCAGCAGCCCAGACTGGAGCCCATATGGGATGCCTTGGACAAAATACAGCATTGCAAGGACAGCATACTTGGCGTTCATCCTTCAGGAACTGCCATCCACCTGCAGGGAGAACAAGCAAAGATGGGCAGAGCTCAACAGGCTGAGAGATCTGTACCTTCATGTGCATCCAGGAGAAGTGTATGTATTCAAGGACCAGAGGGAAAGGGAGTTTGCCCATTGATAGTTGTGGAAAGAACTCAGAGGCTAGACATGTTATACGCAAATGATGAAAATGAGATGGCGTGGATTTAGCTTTCTCTGCCCAGCATAATATTTTGCAACTTATGGGTGCTGTTAGAGAGACACAGTGATTTTCCAGGTAGATACCTGGTCAATCTAATATTCTAGAAAGCAGAATAGAGAAGAGTCTGGGTACTGTGGCATGGCTTCACAGAATGGAATTGCCCCGGTAGATGAAAGACGGGACTTGAAAACATTTATTGTTTTTATTTAAAAATACCTGAAAGTTGCCTTTGGCCAGTAACCTCCAGGTTGCTAATGAAACTTACTGAAACATAATAAAGTCACAACAACTTTATACAAATATTTGAGAAAACCCGTAAGATATCTTCTTGTATCTTAGCTTTTTGATTGGCTGCAGAAGCCAACACCCTACCCCACCCTGCTCTCCTGTCATTAGTGGAAAATAAATTACAAAGGGTAATTCAGTCTTATTATTATTGTTTTACTTCTGATATAATTGATTTCATACCCTTTAACATGGTACAGCTGAAAACTGAGATAACACTGTATTTTAATATTGCTTGTTACGCACTTAAAGGCTTTACTACAATCAACTGGTATATAAATTTTGTTAAATGAATAAACTAAGATTTGAGGTCTTTATTTTACATATTCTTGTTTAGCTTTAAAATGACACAATATGGTACTGGAATCATTTTATTTTACCATGGGCTGTAAGCAGGAAGGACATAATAGACCTGATGGTTTTCACATTGCTAGTGGTTAACGTAACCAATCTTCAATAAAAGCCATTAATCATCTCCTGCCTTCTTTCTCTGTTGGACACAACAATGTATTCAAAACACCCACTTTACCATTGAGTTTTTACATGTGCTCGGTCCTTAAAGTATATAATTTTATCAGCAGTTAGCATTTAATCCTTAAAGGTAAAGGTACCCCTGCCCGTACGGGCCAGTCGTGTCTGACTCTAGGGTTGTGCGCCCATCTCACTTAAGAGGCTGGGGGCCAGCGCTGTCCAGAGACACTTCCGGGTCACGTGGCCAGCGTGACATCACTGCTCTGGCAAGCCAGCACCAGCGCAGCACACTGAAACACCGTTTACCTTCCCGCTATAAAGCAGTACCTATTTATCTACTTGCACTTAAGGGTGCTTTTGAACTGCTAGGTCAGGAGCTGGGACCGAACGACGGGAGCTCACCACGCCGCGGGGATTCGAACCGCCAACCATACGATCGGCAAGTCCTAGGCACTGAGGTTTTACCCACAGCGTCACCCGCATCCCTATTTAATCCTTAGAGTACGCTAATAGAATCTGATCAGAGTTTTACAACAGGATGGAGGTATATAAATTCATGCATGATATGGAGAAAATGGGTAGAGTTTTTTTTCCCTTTCTCAAAATACTAGAAATTGTGGACCTCCAATAAAACTTAATGCTGAAAGATTCAGGACAGACAAAATAAAGCATTTATTCATATAGCGCACAGCTAAACTACGGAATTTGTTCCCACAAAAGATAGCGATGACCACCAACTTAAGTAAAAAGGTAAAGGTACCCCTGCCCGTACGTGCCAGTCTTGACAGACCCTAGGGTTGTGCGCCCATCTCACTCAAGAGGCCGGGGGCCAGCGCTGTCCGGAGACACTTCCGGGTCACGTGGCCTGCGTGACATCGCTGCTCTGGCGAGCCAGAGCCGCACACGGAAACGCTGTTTACCTTCCTGCTAGTAAGCGGTCCCTATTTATCTACTTGCACCCGGAGGTGCTTTCGAACTGCTAGGTTGGCAGGCGCTTAGGACCCTTTTTTTTAAACTGGGGTTGCCGTATTTAGGAACTGTGCCTGCTAAAAACATTATTGTTTAAGCAAGCTTACCAAGACACTTAGAAATGCTGGTATGTTTTTTAACCCCCCTCTTTTTTGAGGGGGGGCATCAAGGGTAGCCAGCATTATGCCCCCCAAATGATGTCGGACTCCAAGCTGTAGTCTGTCATCATCTGAAGTGCATCCTGTTGGCTCCCTATGCTTCAATTCCTTTTAAACATCCTTTCAGTCCATGCGAAAGGACTCCCTTAACTATCTGTCATCATCAATCTGTCATCTTTTCTTTGTGCAGGGGTCCAGTGCTGGTGTACTTATTTATTCATATTTATTTCTTATGTCTCATTTTTAAAAATCTATTATGTGTTCTCATTTTGTATTTTTACATTGTGAACTGCCCTGCGATCTTTGTGGTATGCAAATTTAATAAACAACAAAAACGAATAATTTTCTTATTTTGACTTTTTGTATCTTTTATGCCGTCGTTGTGGTTTTGTTATTGTTTTGTTATCTGATTTCTTTCCGCAGGGCCTGTAAGACAGGGTTGTTGCGCCTGGCCTTTGGCTTGGAGCCAATTTGATTCCCTCCCCCTCTTTCTTTTTCCTTTCTCCTCCTGCGATGAGGCTGCATTTTAATGTTTCAATATTTTAATGCTGCATTTTAATCTTGTTTTTAAGTTGTATTCATTCAACTTGTTTTTATTATCGCTTGTTAGCTTGTTAGCCTTGGCTGGGGAGGGCGGGGTATGAATAAAAATTATTATCATTATTTTAACCTTTTTTTCGTAAACCACTTTGGGGCGTTGTTGTTTTGACAGTCGTGCAGGGTATGAATTCAGAATAATTGAATAAATGCCAAATGTACACGGAAGCTCACAGACCTACATTGTGTCACCCCCCTACTTCCCAAAAACGAAGCTTCCCCAGCCCCCACAAGAACCCCTGTGGCACCAGCAGGACTCAGCATCACTGGGTTGCCAGCCTCCCTGGCAGCATCAGCAGCATCCCCGAGGCGAGTGGTCCAGCTTCCCCTCCGTTGCCATGGCAACCCCCTCCCCACCGGCCCTTCCGCGCTTCAGCCGCTAGAGGGCGCCGCTGCGCCGCCCCTTTCCGCCCCCCTCCCTCTCCTTCCCCGCCGCTCGCGGGACCCACATAAAAGTCCAGACGCTCCGCTTCTCCCGTTTCCGCGGCCAACAGCGAGAGCGGAAACGCCGCCGCCGCCCTCAGAGAAACGGAACCAGGCCCAGACCATGAGCGCAGGTACACTTCCGGTCAAGGAGAGGGAAACGAGGGAAGCCTCCCTTTCAGACCGGAAACGGCGCTCCGTCGGAGAGGCTTCGCGGCCCTTCTAGGCGGCGCCTCTCGGTTGACTTCATTTGGCAGCCGCCGCAACGCCATTTCCCCCCCAAAGGGCACAGTCTCACTGCAAAGGCCGAGACTTCCGGTTGTCGATCGAAAGCGGGCTTTGGCACAAGCGTGGAGTGGCGCCGCTCTGTCCTTTTTACCTCTCTAGCGATGCAGGATTCAACCCCCAAAGGCGCACCCCTCCGTTGTCTCTCGAGACAGACATATGCCGACAACGGCGGAGGCTCACTTTGCTTTGAAGAGGCAGAGTTCGACCGAGTACCGGTAGTGTTCATTGAAACTGTGTCCCCTTTGGCTCAGGGGACCATAGAGGTAGAAAACTTCATTGAAACTGTGTCCCCTTTGGCTCAGGGGACCATAGAGGTAGAAAACTTCATTGAAACTGTGTCCCCTTTGGCTCAGGGGACCATAGAGGTAGAAAACAGTAAGAGGTCATCATCCCGTTTCAGCACTTGACAAGCTGCATCCAGCGCTGCCAATAAAGGACACTAAGATGATGCTGTTAAGGTGCTACACTCAATATGCCAGCAAGTTTGGAAAACTCAGCGGTGGCCAGAGGATTGGAGAAGATCAGTCTATTTCCCAATCCCAAAGAAGGGCAGTGCCAAAGAATGCTCCAACTACCGCACAATTGCACTCATTTCACACGCTAGCAAGGTTATGCTTAAAATTCTACAAGGAAGGCTCAAGCAGTATGTGGACCGAGAACTCCCAGAAGTGCAAGCTGGATTTCGAAGGGGCAGAGGAACCAGAGACCAAATTGCAAACATGCGCTGGATTATGGAGAAAGCTAGAGAGTTCCAGAAAGACATCTACTTCTGCTTCATTGACTATGCGAAAGCCTTTGACTGTGTCGACCACAGCAAACTATGGCAAGTTCTTAATGAAATGGGAGTGCCTGATCACCTCATCTGTCTCCTGAGAAATCTCTATGTGGGACAAGAAGCCACAGTTAGAACTGGATATGGAACAACTGATTGGTTCAAAATTGGGAAAGGAGTACGACAAGGCTGTACATTGTCTCCCTGCTTATTTAACTTATATGCAGAATTCATCATGCGAAAGGCTGGGCTGGATGAATCCCTAGCCGGAATTAAGATTGCTGTAAGAAATATCAACAACCTCAGATATGCAGATGACACAACCTTGATGGCAGAAAGTGAGGAGGAATTAAAGAACCTTTTATTGAGGGTGAAAGAGGAGAGCGCAAAATATGGTCTGAAGCTCAACATCAAAAAAACGAAGATCATGGCCACTGGTCCCATCACCTCCTGGCAAATAGAAGGGGAAGAAATGGAGGGAGTGGGAGATTTTACTTTCTTGGGCTCCATGATCACTGCAGATGGTGAGAGCAGTCACGAAATTAAAAGACGCCTGCTCCTTGGGAGAAAAGCAGTGACAAACCTAGACAGCATCTTAAAAAGTAGAGACACCACCTTGCCAACAAAGGTCCGTATAGTTCAAGCTCTGGTTTTCCCAGTAGTGATGTATGGAAGTGAGAGCTGGACCATAAAGAAGGCTGACCGCCGAAGAATGGATGCTTTTGAATTCTGGTGCTGGAGGAGACTCTTGAGAGTCCCATGGACTGCAAGAAGATCAAACCTACTACTATTAAATACCTCACCTGTTTAGTTCCTGCTCAAATAGATGGGAAGGCTGCATATAAACTTCTTTGTATATTTATTAAGGCAAATGTACAAAAAGGATGTGGGGGAATTGAGAGAAAAATCAGTGCTAAATTAAGACTGTCCGTTCACGATCTATTTTATAACAATGCAAGCATTCCTCACTTATTTAAAAATATGTTAAAGGCCCCTGCATACAATGAAATAGGTTTATTGCAGGTGAAGAGGTGGGCAGCAGCCAAACATTTAAAGCATTATATTTCTAAATGCCATATAAAAGCAAATCCTCACACTTCTTTTATGGAAGAGGATCTGCCCATTAGTTTTTCAAGATTATTCTTGCTGACGCTAGTCCCTCCTGTATGTCTCTCAATTGTATGTGCATGTTCTACCCTTAATCATGGGTCCTCCTTTTATACATATTTTATTATCATTATTTATTAAATCAACCTCCCTCCCTCCCTCCAATGCTGGCACCCTGGAGGAAGGAGGGAAGGCATCCATTAACACACTTCAAGATTTGCAAAGTATGTAGAAGTCCAGATAATAAATAAAAATAATAAAAATTCCTAGAGGTTAGAAGAAGACTTAACACTCTCCCTTACATTAAAAAATATTTAAAAATCAGGACAATTTTGTAAAAAATCAAAAAATAAAAGGAAGCTTTACATACAAAAATAGGAAAGGCTTGGAGATGAAAACAAGCCATTTTCCCCAAAACCTTTGCTTATTTCAGGGCAACAGAGAAGTCCATTCAGGTGCCCAGCTTTCCACCTGCCTTGCAGAGAAGTTCTGCAAAACCGCAAGGGGAGCAGGAGGTGCTGTTTTGGCTCCTGGGATGCTGGCTGGTCAGTTGCTTCTTGCAATTAGAGCAACCTGCACACAGGCTTAAGGGAACCGTGGAGCTGTGCTCTGGGGTTTCATCCCTGGAGATGGCAGTGCAGGCTCAGTTCAGTTCCAACGGATGATTTCTTCCGTGGCCATGCGTATAATCTTGTTGAAATCAAAATGTATGTACTTCCTCCAGAAACGCCGGTCTCTGCCATAAACTTGGGCTGGGTAGCGTGGGCTTCCTGTCCAAACGGAGAAAACTCAATCAGCCACCAAAAGAATTGCAAGTGCTTGTTCATTTCTCAAAAAAACAGAGCAATGCCAGCCATTAGAGGGCCCAACAGAGCCTCCTGCTAGGCCTACATTGTTGACATGGAGCTAAGGATTATGTGATAGGAATTTTGAGGTCTTCGATATATGTTCAATATTCATAAGTGTACCAACCAAGCACGTACATAGATCAGCACAGGAAGACCGACCTGGAACCATTTTTGATTCCCAAACTGACCAAATGTTTTCTCTGGATGGAAAATGGGAAAGCCTCCCCATTGTCTTTTCCTTCACAAATCCTGTCTTAAAGGTATGTCTGTGTTTGAATAGGGTGAGCCTGTGACCTGACTCAGGAACTAAGTATTTACCATTACTAAGTATTTATCATTACAAAAGACTGGCCAGGCTCCCCAAGGTATCCAATCAAATAAGCAGGGTATCCAATCAAGTAAACAGGAAGATAAACAACATTCAAATTTCTGTTTTTGACCGCCTTTCTGTGATGTAGGTATGATGTATCTGGGGTGGTGGTCTTAAGCTACACCCCCCCTTCTTTGATGTATGTATGATGTTTCTGGGGGTGGTTCTTGATCTACCAGGGTGGCAATTTCAACAGTCCTTTATAAGGCCTTGCACACTATTTTTCTGGGTCCTCCTCCTTTCCTGCGAGTGAGGGATACCCTGTTGCAACAGATCAATAAATATTCAAGTTTACTAGCTGCTTTGCCTCTTAATATTCTCTGGTTGGCCTCTCTTATTTTCTCCTACCAATAGGGAACCTACATAAGGGCTCTATATAGGCTCTTAGATACCCCATAAGGGAAAAAGGGCAGAGATTTTGTTTACAACAATTACCAGTTTTGTTCACTATGCAGCAGCCTTTGCTAAAGTAGTAGCCTCCAGGTGTTTTTAAGACTACAACAAACATCAGCCACGTCCAGGGAGTTGTAGTCCAAAACATCTGCAAGGCACCAGGTTGGAAGAGGCTGTCTACAGCACTGTGGCAAATGTGATGCTCAATTGCCTTTGCCCTTAAGAGATCAGATTGTGATTGAGCAGAAATGCCCTCTGGAGGTTTTGGAGGATCTCAGCCTATTGCCTGTGTGGTGCCTGGCTCTGTGCTGATGCAAGAAGCAGAGCAGACCACGGAACGGCTGGAGAATTACATCCTCACCTATGCCGTGGAAGATCCTGGCCACAGCCCTGCCAGTGAACTTCTCGTCTTGGCGGAGAGACAGGAAGCTGCGGACGTCAGCTCGTATTGCTCTTCCCAGTCCCGAAGCTGAAATTGGGAAGCAAAGGATACTGGGAGTTTAGTTACCGATTTGGACATGTTGAGCTGCTTTGTGCCAAGTCAAAACACTGGACTCATCTTTGCTCAGCGTTGTGTACTTGAACAGTTGGAAGTGTCTCCAGAAAGGACTCTTTCCCACCTCTGGTTTAAAAGTGAGAAGAGAACTCACTTCTTTGCACAGGTAGAAAAGTGGGCAGCGTAAATCTACTGATTATCTAGCCCAGAACTTCCTTCTGGCAGCAACTCAAGGTCTTTCCAGTCCCTTGCGGCCTGAGCCCTTTTTAAAACGGGAGATTTCTGCCTGCATAGGAGGTAATCTGCCACTGAGTTATGACCCTCTCCTTTGAAAAATAAGAGTAGCAGGATTAGAACCCTCCCCATCTGCAGAGCAAGTCCCTAACCACAAATCAGTGGAGAGCACACAGTTAATATGAACAAATCTGCCAGAAGGTTCACCTACCCACCCATCGTTATCTCAGGAGATCTTTAGATAGCCTTACTCTCAGACCCATATATAGCATTATGAAACAGATGAGGACATGAAGTCCCAGGAGCAGTGCAGGATTAGGGGACAGGAGACAGTGGCACATTGCCACACACGGTGCCTGACTGTGGCCACATCTGGAGAAGCCCAAAAAGAGATGCCTGTATCATTCTATGCTTCAGTGCCATTAAGAGGGCAAAAAGAGCAGCTTCTCTCACTTTAATGTCTTGGAGATCCTCAGTGTCCTGCTCTTTCACTTGGGAGTGCAGGATCCGCTTCATCTGTATCCTTCTCAAAATATCCAGCAGCAGAGACTTCAGCTGGGCACTTTCTCCTCGCCCCCGTGGTCACAGCACGAGGCACAGGCGCGGAAAGCCACACTGCTCAAAAAGACAAGGGAGAGAGAATACTTTTCTTTTTGCAAATCTTTCTTAGCTGTAAAGGGAATCTGAAGGAGCGTCTCACCCCCATCGTTCAGCTCGGACACTGAGGTCCCAGCTCCAAGGGCCTTCTGGCGGTTCCCTCCCTGCGAGAAGCCAAGTTACAGGGAACCAGGCAGAGGGCCTTCTTGGTGTGGCGCCCGCCCTGTGGAACGCCCTCCTACCAGATGTAAAAGAGAAGAACAACTACCAGACTTTAGAAGACATCTGAAGGCAGCCCTGTTTTAGGGAAGCTTCTTAATAGTTTTAATAGGACTATTGTTATTTTAATAACTTTGGTCTGGAAGCCGCCAGTTGTGGCTGGGGAGACCCAGCCAGATGGGTGGGTATAAATAATTAATTAATAATAATAATAATAATAATATATAATAATAATAATAATGAGTTAACACTTTACCTATCCCTTTGGAATGGAGGCTTCCCAACTGGTGCCTCCCACCTTCTCAGCATCTAGCCAGTCCATGACAAGAACCTGTTGTGTCCATTAAATGCAAGGTGGTTCTCCCTCCCTCCCAGGAGCTCTTTCTCCTCTCTCCTGCCACCAGACTGAACACATTGTTCTTTTGCCCAGCTTCTCACACGCAGCAGAGCCTACCTTTTAAAGTGGTGCCAGTTT